TCGCTCAGGCTGGTTTTGAACTCCTGACCTTGAGCAATCCGCCCGCCTTGGTCTCCCAGAGTGCTAGGATGCTAGGATTACAGGCGTGAGCCACTGCACCCTTTTTCTTTTTTTTGAGACAGAGTCTCACTCTGTTGCCTTGGCTAGAGTGCCATGGCGTCAGCCTAGCTCACAGCAACCTCAAACTCCTGGGCTCAAGCGATCTTCCTGCTTCAGCCTCCCGAGTAGCTGGGACTACAGGCATGCATCACCATGCCCGGCTAATTTTTTCTATATATATTTTTAGTTGGCCAATTAATTACTTTCTGTTTTTAGTAGAGAGGGAGTCTCGCTCTTGCTCAGGCTGGCTTCAAACTCCTGACCTTGAGCGTTCTGTCCTCGTTGGCCTCCCAGAGCGCTAGGATTATAGGCGTGAGCCACCAGGCCTGGCCTGTTTCCAAATACAAGGTTTTTCTTATTACATTTTTAAAATTGATTGTTTTACAGCTTGATAACTTGATTTCATTTCTTTGAAATTTGCTGATACGTGGTTTATGACCCCAGATATAACCAAATAAAATTTTGTTTAAATAAATGTTCCACATGTTTAAAATTTCTTATTTTCAAAGTAATTGGGTACATAGTTCTATATAACCACTAGGTAAAATTTGCTACTTGTGTTGTTCAAATCTTATAAATATCCTTGCTAACTTTTTTTCTCTGCTTTTTCCATCAATTACTGAGAGAGGTATGCTACAATCTCCTAATATCATGATGGTGGATACAACATTTCTCCTTACAGTTCTGTCAGTTTTTGATTTATATATTTTGAGGCAATGCTATTAAGTGTATACAAATTTAATAGTGTTTATCTTAGTGATGAAGTGAACTCTAGCAATAAACTATATACTTTAATGTCTATTTTATCTGACAATAACTACAACCAACTTTGTTTAGATTTGCCTGGTATGTATCTTCCAACCCTTATATTTTCAGCCTGTCTGTAAACTTACATTTTAGGTACATCTCTGATAAACAGCACAGAGTTGGATTTTTTTTTTTTTAATTCAGTTTAACAATCTTTGCTCTCTTTACTGGAGGATTTATTTAGTGAAATGGTTTCCAAACGTGTCTGCATATGGGAATCACCTGGGAAATTTGAAAAAATAGTAATGCTTGTGTCCCACCCCTGGAGATTGTAACTTAATCGGTCCAGGGTACACTCTAGGCTTCATGATTTTTAAACATCTCCAGGTGACTGTACTGTACACACAAGTTTGAGAACCAGTGAGTTAGTCTATTCACATTTAATGTAATTACTGTTATGTTTGGTTACTATCTACCACCTTATTTTATGCTTTTAAGTATCCTAAGTTTAATAAATTTCCTTTTCTCTCATTTCTTCTTTCAGATAATCCTAATTCCCTTATTTTCCTCCCAGAGATAATAAAGACCTTAGAACACAAGGACCTTACTTCATTTACTCACTTCCAAACTCATATTATTGCTTTCATGAATTTTAATTCTTGGTTTCTTTTAACCCCATAAGACTGATTTCTTATATAACACTTATTTTACATTTACCTGATTACTTACCATTTTCTGTATTCACCATTCATTCTTATATCTCAAACCTTCTTCCTGGGATCACTTTCCTTCTGAAGTACATCCTTTTATCATTCTTTTTAGTGAAGGTCTCACCAAATCTAGTGGATTCTCACAGATTTTGTTTATCTAAAAATACTTTTATTTCACTCTCATTCTTTTGGTATATGATTTCAGTTGGCATATACTTCTAGGTTGGCAGAAACTTTCTCTGCCTACATCATTCCAGTATCTTCTGGTTTCTGAGAGGGCAGCTTTGAGAAGTAATCAGTTTGTTATTCCTTTAGAGAAAATCATTTTTTCACTAGACCACTTTTAAGATCTCTGCAACTTTACTTTAGTGTCCTAAAGTTTCGAAAGGATGTGTCTACATTTGGATTTTTTTTTTTATGAGACAGGGTCTTGGCTCTGTTGCACTGGGAGGCTGGTGTGTGGTGGTGAGGTCATAGCTCACTGTAACCTCCAACTCCTGGGCTCAAGTGATCCTCCTGACTCAGCCTCCCAAGGAGCTAGGACTACAAGCACATGCCACCCTACCTGGCCAATTTTTTAAATTTTTTTGTAGAGACTGGATCTCACTATGTTACCCAGGCTGGCCTTGAACTCCTAGGCACAAGCAATCCTCCCGCCCCACCACGCCCATCCTGGATTTTATTTATCTGGTTTGGGATTCTTACATTTCTAATTTGGTATCTTTTGTAAGTGCTAAAAAATCCTAGCCATTATCTCTTCAAATACTATTTCTGCCTCGTTCTTTCTCTTTCTTTTAGAATGTCACTCTTTATATTAGAACTTTTCATTCTATATTCCATGTTTCTTAACTTCCCTTTTACAATTCCATTTGTTTCTAATAAGCACCTGGGAAAATTACCAGTCTGGGATCACTTTAAACTAAAATTGCAATTTGAGGTTTTCTGAACTATCCAGTGAAAATGGATCTCAGATCCAAAGTGAGGACCACTTTGTGGTAATAAAGTCTCAGACAGACAAAAGCTGCTCTGTGAACACTTTTCTGCTTATAAATGATATTATTTTCTTACTAGTCCTTCTGCAGGAAAATGGGAGGTGAGGCAAGTTAACTTGTGGTATACCCTTAAAATAAGACCATAGCCCTTTGAGGTCCCACCTTTATAAGGAGTGCCTATTATGTTCTCTACATGGACAAAGCTCTAGTCTTTTTTCTACAACAACCCCCACCAAGGACTTGACAACTAAAAGCTCGAGTTTGTTGGGTTTGGAAAATGCCATGCTCTTAGTGAAAAAATGATCTTACTGTTCAAATTATCTCATTCGATTTTGGCCTATTAAGTCCTTCCTATCTTGCCCACTCTTACACGTTTTTTGTTTTGTTTTGTTTTTGAGACAGAGTCTCACTCTGTTGCCTGGGCTAGAGTGCAGTGGCATCAGCCTAGCTCACAGCAACCTCAAACTCCTGGGCTCAAGCAATCCTCCTGCTTCAGCCTCCCAAGTAGCTGGGACTACAGGCATGCGCCACCATGCCCGGCTAATTTTTTCTATATGTATTAGTTGGCCAATTTCTTTCTATTTATAGTAGAGAGGGGGTCTCACTCTTGCTCAGGCTGGTTTCGAACTCCTGACCTCGAGCAATCTGCCCGCCTCGGCCTCCCAGAGTGCTAGGATTACAGGCGTGAGCCACCGCACGTGGCCTAAAATAAACTCTTGAGATCCAATGAATGAATGGCAAGTAATGCTGTCATGTTTAGCAACCACAGACTGAATTAAGCAATAAAATAATTATGTTTGGATGAGACTCTGAATAACTAAAGATACCACATTAAATATATTTTTCAAATTCAGTATTTAAAGGCAGGAAAAAAAGTTCCCCAAAAATACAAGGAGGCTCAGATACTTACCACATATAATGTGGAGGAGGAAGGAGAAGGGCATCTAACTACTAACTGTATTAAAGAAAAAAATTACCTCCCACAGCTGCTATTTCCTAAAATTTCTTTCCATTACTGCTTGGAGTAGGTATAACAAAGAGGTAGAGAAAATGCCTTTTTCTTCATGCACATTCATTTAGAATCTTAAAACAGGTACAATCAACTCTAGATTTATACTTCCTTCACAGAGTCTATAATCACTTAAAAATGATCCAGACAAGCACTAAAAATTCAAAACAGAAACAAACATCTTCAAGTCTTTAGCTAGTTAATTTACTATATACTCAATTTTATATATATCTTAGAAACAAAAGGAAACAACAAATCCTTGATTTCCAAGACTGACAACTGATTCTTATTGCCCAGGTTGGTGTACCACTCCTTTCCCTTTTTCTCACCAATTTAGGAAATTCAAGGTACCTAGACTAAATCCACAGGAAGTTCAAATCAGTTGTAAGACTTCATAAAATCCCTATAGATCTCTGGGTAACTCACCCAATAGACAGACTATACCTTCTCTTCTCCTTTTTATGGTAGAACAGATTTTAAAAAATAAATCCTTTTTCTCTTTTCCCACCTTAAGTATTGTGACCAAAATCAGTTTCTATATGATAATCTTAATCATGCCTATTTCTTATTTTCAAATTTACCTATTTTATGGTAGAGATTAGGCACACTATAACACCTTGAAAGGCATGTTCCTTGGCAGCCTTTTTGAAAGCTAACTTACAACATGTTCTAAACTGCAGTTTTCAATAACTAGCCTCTTTAGAAAGGAAAATACTAAAAGAGCAAATTCAACCTGATACTTGCATAGGACAAGATGAATCTCTGCTTTAGAACTGAGTTTAATTAACAATGAACCAAAAAAAGGTCTCAATTTGTCATTCTTAAAATACTTCATCCATTAAAAAAAAAAAAAAGATCACCAGCAAACTGGTATTAACTGATCAACACCTAAGTGGACATACAAGAATAACATTTATCCTGTGTCAGGCAGGTGGTGGGGGAGGGGATGGGTATATACATACATAATGAGTGCAATGGGTACCAACTGGGAGATGGGCACGCTTGAAGCTCTGACTTGAGGGAGTAGGGGAGGCAAGGGCAATATACATAACCTTAACATATGTACCCTCATAATATGCTGAAAAATAAATAAATAAAATTTAAAAAAAAGAAAAGCCTTATTAATTGCTAGCAAGCTCTCAAAGCACTCTTAACTAATAATTTTTACTACTACTACTACTTGACTACCTACTGTATACCAGGCATTGTTTTTTTCAAACACACTAATGTAATCTTCTCAACAGACTTATGAGGTAGGTTTTATTTTCTCTGCAGTTTTTACAGAAGCAATAAATAAGAATATAACAGAAACCTGAGATCTACTACTAATCACCACCAAATGTGAAACAAACGCTGTCATGAATGGAGATGCTCTGCACCAAAAATGAGTCTCTCTTCTTCAGTGTGAGCACTCCCCACACAAGAATGGTTTCATTTAAGTACCTTGTACTTTTGTCTCAGCTCTTCCGTGTCTTCTTTTTCCACTTCCAGGACACGGCGACGTTCAGTAGCATCTTCAGCATAATCAAGCTTGACAAAAAATAGATACAATTAGTATTAATTCCTAAAGTACCCCAACATTAGCTATGATAAAGTTATTTATACAATCACAGTATTGTTTGAAAACAAAAAAACCTTTCTATTTTGCTCAGCTACAGCTTGCTTTATTGCCATCCCACAGAGAAAACAGCATGCAAAATAGTTCATTAATCCTTTTATGCTGGTAGTTCCTAATACGCACATCTATGGGTAACAGCCCTCTCACTTCATTGTTCACTACCAAAGAATTAAAAGTAAAGAGAAAATATTTTAAGCAATGAAAAGCAAGTATCACTGATGACAGCTGTACACAACTGTACCAGGGCAAGGCTTCTACCACAGCAAATATTTTAAGAGTTGAGCAACAGTGGCTACCAAAACAAGCACTAGGGCCTGGGTCTAAGTCTGATCTTGCCTTGCTGTATAACCCTGGGCAAACCACTTCTTTGTGTCCCAGTTGAAACGAGGGCATTGTTTACATCCTATATGCCTCAAAAGTAGCACAAAATGAGAATGTAAAATATATTTTTTAGCTGCTCAAAGAAAAATATTAAAACTACATATCATCTGATAAATGCATTATTGCACTGGCATCTGAATTTGGAATTAATATCAATTTTAAATGCCCCATAAAACTCATGAGTTAATGAGATCAATTTACCTCCATTTCCATGCGGCCCATGCCCATAACATCATACTTGACAACGATTGGAATAGGATCTGTTCTCCCTGTAACAGGAACACATAATCAAGGTAAGATGCCAAGTCAAGCCAACAACTCACTTTACACATTGGGTTTGGGTGGTTAGAGATCTTGCCTTGGAGTGCAGAGACCAGAAAGCTACAGTGAACCAAACACAAGCCATTCTCACAGCTTACACCCAAACCCTTCTTTCCTACTTTAAACCCATCTAGCCACCTTGATTGACCTTCCATTTGGGATAGTTCTTGATTACTATGGTAAAATTAAATTAATAAGTAATGCAAAAAGCAATTCTAAGCAATGGCACCAGGAGGTTCAAAATTTTAAACTTTAAAAGTTACTTTTTAAAAAGATCCCTGAATAACTTTCCATCAAGAATCACTTCACTCTGTCCACTGATATCCTCCCACACACACTTTTAAAACTGGTAATAAATATCTCAACTGACATGCTTAAATAGAAAAGGCACATATTCAAACATGATGCAGTATGCTAAATTGTTTTGTTTGTTTTTAAGAGACGCTGTACAATTAAATGGGACTGTGAAAAGTTTAAAGAAAAATGTCCTTAGGGACAAAGAATAGTTTTACTTTTAAACTGGTGCTCTGAAGTCCCATGTCCTAGTGTGGATTTAACACTAGTTGCAGTAATCGGTAAGCTGTGAAAAGGACTAGTTGCGAAGAAAATTGACTTTAAACTAATCGATCTATGCTGGAGATTTTTAAAATAAATGTATATTTAATCCACTCATAACCAGCCAAACAAAGCAAAATGGGGCAGACAAGCACTTTACTACCACAGCTGTTTTACATCACAACTTGCGCTTTTTATTGTGATGTAAGCCCACTGGAAAGAGGACTTACCTTATCCGTTGTACACCTTTAGTGAAAAAACACAATGTTTACTTCCCTTATCATTTCACTCAGGCTGGTGTAAACAATTGGTTTTTTGTTGTTGTTATACACACATATATATTATACCTTTGGGCTAAACACTGAGTTTTGTCAGGCTAATCTGAGGTGCTACCAAAAATAAAAAAGTTTTTTTTTAAATAAATGCCATGATCATGACTGGTTTTGGTCCTGCAGAAAAAAGAGGAAAGAAATCATTTTCAAAATGATCAGCAACTGCTTGTATCCAGTTGCTTTCTATTTGTGGGATTAATTTTTTGTCTTTAAGATGTAATGAAAAACAAATTCAGAAGTTTTACTTATCACCAATATTCCATTATTGTTTTTAAACAATAAATAGGAAGATAATAATTATCAGCAAAAAAAAAACCCCCAAAAAACTGTTTTAGTAAATAAACATCCCATGCCAGGGGGAAAAAAAAAAAAAAAAGAAAGGAAGAAAGAAAAAGAAAGCTTCTAGAATATAGCCTTCTTTTAGATACCATAAAGACTGCCAGAAAAACAAAATGAAAATGCAACACTACCTTATGCCCAATGGTATAATAAATAAGCAGTGACTGCAATCTTTAGCAAAAGGACCAAATTAAAGACAGGTTATAAAAATGACTTCCTAGGTGCAATATCACTTTCATAACGTCTCAATCAGGGATTTACTGGTAAAAACAAATGGTCCAATGAAAGAATTGAAAAGAAATGTCATAGAAATTTACTTTATTTTGGTATCTTTTTTTGATCTGTCAGAATTAATTTTGTTAAGAATCAAAGTTTTGGTATAAATTCATTACCTCTGTAAACCCCTGTTTATAAACTCTGCATTAGTACTTTTGCCTTCTAAGGCAGTCAAAGTTTGTTTTAATTTATTTATAAATTGCAGTAGCAAGTGCTAGTGCCCATTATATTGTAGGGAAATCAAGTTTTTGACAGTATTAGAATTTAATGTTTTAACTGATTTTGTTGGCATTTCTAACACAAACAGATACATCCCTTCTTAACATTACCCTTTAATGAACAAGGATCAGACAAGTTGCATAAGGAAAGGAAAGGAAAATGAAAAAGACCAAGCAGAAGGATGAAGGCTACAACAGAGAAAGTAAGCCTAACATATTGGTGCACTGATGACAAAAGGAGTAATTCAGTCTGAAAATAAAAAATTACCACTGCTAAGTTTACCATCACCACAACAAGTCCAGGATCATAATGCTGTAAAAAAGAAACACCATTTGTTAGGCAGAAACCATCAGGGTAGGAAACAGGCCTTCTAGCAGGCAGACAGGACGGGGTAAAGTAACAATTGGGCTTTGTCCCTCCCCCAATTTCAGCTGGGGACAGAGGAAGGACATTTTGTGCTGCAGCAGCTGTTCTCATGCTGGTCAGACCAGGGTGTGAGATTTTTGTACTGCTACTTGAGAACATGAACCACCTCCTCTTCAATAATGCAGGGGGTAGGGTGTCAGTTTAAAGAGAGAGAACTAGCTCTAGCTTCCAATCTCTCATTTAACTATTCATTCTGGTAAATCAGTATTCAGGGCCCAAGGTGGGACTTTTCCTTAAAAGAAATCACATCAAAGACTCAATCAGATCAACTGGACAGTGATCAAGTCATTTGTTTCACCAAAAGAACTCTAGGAAGCTTGGGGGAGGAGGGTGTCCTCAAGACCTCTCTAAATATATATAAAACAATTAAGAGGCCTAGAAAATAACCTTAGATCTTTAGTGCTCGAAGAATTTGTACATTTGAGTTCTGTTATACATGAATACAACTCGTAAGTGGCTCTCCTCAGAACCTTGCTTTCTGTTAATGAAGACTTCCCAGGCCCACCAAGATCTTTCTGCACACAACAAAGCCAACCTTTGAAGGACAGTGTCAGAGAAACTCCAGAGAAAATGGCATCAAAAGAGCTGTCATATTTAAAATTACTCCACTCAGAGTTAACTCACAGAAAATAAACAGTCTGACTTTCAAAGCGATCTGAAGGTGACATTACTGTCTAGGCCAAGTAGTACTTTCATAATATTATTAAAGAGGATACAGACCAGGGAAAAATCCCAGTGGGAAAAGACACCAAACAGTATATACAGAAAGAGGCTGCAGCATTTAAAAAAAAAAATCCCTCAAGATATTCATTTGCTATCAATGATAAATCCTATCAAAAAGAACATCACTTAAAATACCCGAGTAACAATTTGTAGTGATGACTTTTCGCAAGGTAGGTAGCAACATAACGTCTGTTAATATGTATTCTCTAGAAAACTCAACTTCTTTTTAAAATAAAATGAACTAAGTCCAGGTTCTATATTTACTGGTTTCTTTTAAAGTCAGACAAATATTATTTAAAATCTATTCAAATACTGAGAAATTTTTTACTGTTTATTTCACTCCAAAGGAGCTTCAACCAGAACACTAAATACCCTTCTTAAAAGAAACTGTCTCCCTCAGTGTCAAAATCTATAGTCACTATGACTGTACTCTGGCCAAATGGAGAAGGAGAAAAGAAAAAAAAAAAAGAAAGCACATGCCAAATCAAGAATGTGCCAACACTGATGTATTCATCTGATGAAAAAACCTGATACTCATATTTTCTAAATCAAAACTTGAAATGATGTTTCACTAACTGGAATTTTACTGTCTGTCTGTATTTTAAAGGGTACTTCTGCTTCTATAATAATAGAAGTTCCTAAATGCTTATATATGTAGGTCTTGCTAAAATGTGAAGGCATTATGACTTATAACTAAAGAGAGAATAAGGGCAAATATAAAAATCCATTGATTGTCTATAGCTACCCTGTCACGGAGAACAATCTCACAAGAATCAGTTTTGATTTTTAAAATGCCTAAGGATATATACCAATCTACAAAAAACTGAACTACGGAGAATTTTTTTTTTTGGAGAAACGCTATTTTTAAAGAGACAAACTCTAGGAATAGAATAACTGAAAAGAATATATTAAAGGACAATCATAATCTAATAATCAGACACATTCAAGAAACAAAAGAAGAAGCTTCTAAGCTGATTAACACACACATGGATTGTTAACAGATATAAGAATACTTGTTGTCTAAGAACACAGTTTATCCCTGCTTCCTTTCCCCTGACAGAGAATTGTTCAACACAAATATTTATAACAAATATTTACTGAGTCCCTACTACATAGTAGGCACTGTTCTAGGCACTGGGCATATAGTGGTGATCAAAAAACAGTGCCATGCCCCATGAATTACCTATAATTAGGCAAAACAATCTTACCAACTTAACTTCTGGCATGAGAAGGGAAGAAAGAACATTTGTGGAACTAATGCATAAGCAGTTCAAAAAGCTTAAAATGTCTAAAGTCATCTTTAAAGACTGACCATAATAAAGTAGAAGTAAATATAAAAGCCACCAAAAAGTCACAAAATCAACTTCTAAAAGATCAAACTGATAAATGTCAAGAACCTATGCCGACATCTGTAAAGCTATTTATTTATTTCTTCTTTTAAGTAACTGAAATATATATATGTGAATTCAAGAATAAAGCATTAGATGGATGATTATTCTCTGATTTGCAAAAGTAGTCAAAATAAGACTCTAAATAAAATAAGCCACGTTGGTGCATTTAAATATAATTTCATTTATTAAATCAGTGATCACATACAACTTTCAGAAACACTGAATAAAAAATGGTACATCTATTTCCAAATCAAAGCTTTACTTTTGCATATGTCTCCTTAAAATGATAGTCTTCTGTGGCCTAAAAACAATGATTATTTTCAGCATCATTCAGATATTTTTCTAAGTAACTGTAAGATATATGCTACCTCTCAGGAAACACCGAGCACATTAATTTCTCTACAAAGTTTTTTTTTTTTTTTTTGAGACAGTCTCACTTTGGTGCCTAGGCTAGAGTGAGTGCCGTGGCGTCAGCCTAGCTCACAGCAACCTCAAACTCCTGGGCTCAAGCGATCCTCCTCCCAAGTAGCTGGGACTACAGGCATGAGCCACCATGCCCGGCTAACTTTTTCTATATATATTAGTTGGCCAATTAGTTTCTTTCTATTTATAGTAGAGACGGGGTCTCGCTCTTGCTCAGGCTGGTTTCGAACTCCCGACCTCGAGCAATCCGCCCGCCTCGGCCTCCCAGAGAGCTAGGATTACAGGCGTGAGCCACCGCGCCCGGCCTCTACAAAGTTTTTAAGGTTAAAAGAAAGACTTTCTGCTCGAAACAGACTTCAAATTACCCAGTACTACAAAAACTAACTATATTCTTGCCACGGCCTGTTTAATGACGGATATAACAAACAGATTAACTTGATTTTCAAAACGGTTGTTTCATTGTGACCTAAAGGAATCTCCATCTGATACTTTCCAAAGTATCAGAGCTGGCTTTCTAGGATAAAATAGTTCAATTTTAATCATATAAGAAAATATAACCAAATATATTAATAAATAGGGACAAAGGTGAGGCAAAAAGGCTTTAGTGAAAGTGTTGCAGAATCAGAATGTTAAGCCTGGAAAGGATATCGCATCCAGGGATGACATGAGATTGTCTAACCCTTAGAAGATGCAATAAAGAGAATTCATGAGGTACTTAACACATTAACTGCCCTGTGAGCTGTATTTAACTCACACTAGTTTTGAGCCCAGGGCCTCCGGAAGCATATGTAACTCATGTCTCCTTACCTCAGGACCACACTGGGAGCCACATGAATTATTTTTCAAGTTGCATGTAATTCACACACAGAAAACAATTAAAAAAATTATTTTTTTTAACTAAATTATAAAAGATTTTGTTTTTGAAATTTTTATTCTATTTTTGTAATAACACATCGTGGCTCCAAGGGAAAAAAAAAGTTTCTAGTGTGGCAGTTAATGTGTTAAATTTTTTTTTTAAATCACCTAAAGGAAATCATACTTTTCTCTGAGATACAACTGTTCTGGTTAAAATTATACTGACTTGCTGAAGGTTAGTCTCATGCTAACCACTATACTAAGATCAATTTATTTTTTAAATGGGAAAATCAATTCAATAAATACACTTTTGAGGTAAAATAGTCCAAAGCATGGGTCTTAAGGGAAAGAAAAAAAAACAATAAAAGGTCCTTAGCGTAGAAAAAAATTGAAGTGTTAATACTTTTGTGTCCTGAGTTTTACTTATGTTTGTGTCCTGAATACCTAACTAACATAGTACATGGGACAGAGTAGCTTTTAACTAAAAACTATTTGTTGTCTCAGAGTGGGTCTGAAACTTGTTCAGCTGTAAATATTTAGTCATCATAGTGCTTTCTGCTTAACATCACAACATACTGATGATTTTAATCGAAGAATTATTTTATCAAGTAGGACACAGGACTGTATTATATAGGTCTACATATCTCAAAAAATACCCAAGCTGTTATAACGGAATATTTGAGTTTTATAATACTGTTCATTAGAAGCTTGTTCAATTTGTTTTTTGTCATCACTCACCAGTAGTCAAAGGGAAGCACGCATCAAATGTTTAATAAAAAATACTTGAGAAAGAACTTAAACTCAGTATCTGTCGACAAAAAACTTTTATAAAAATCTGAATTGGAAAGTTGCTTCAACCAATTTCAGTGATGGAAAATCTCAAGTTAGCTCTCATAATAATGATTTTCCAGGAAATTAGTTTAGGGTAACTAGTTTATTCAAAATTCTGAAAACAATTTTTCCCTTTTTTAAAAAACAGTCCCGGCCGGGCGCGGTGGCTCACGCCTGTAATCCTAGCTCTCTGGGAGGCCGAGGCGGGCGGATTGCTTGAGGTCAGGAGTTCAAAACCAGCCTGAGCAAGAGCGAGACCCCGTCTCTACTATAAATAGAAAGAAATTAATTGGCCAACTGATATGTATATAAAAAATTAGCCGGGCATAGTGGCGCATGCCTGTAGTCCCAGCTACTCGGGAGGCTGAGGCAGAAGGATCGCTCAAGCCCAGGAGTTTGAGGTTGCTGTGAGCTAGGCTGACGCCACGGCACTCACTCTAGCCTGGACAACAAAGCGAGACTCTGTCTCAAAAAAAAAAAAAAAAAAAAAAAAAAAAACAGTCCCTAGTGAAAACTAATTAGTACACTCCTATGCACATGTAGGTGGATCAAAAATTACCAAATTACTCCAATCTACATAGACATTTCTTTTTTTTTTTTTTTTTTTGAGACAGAGTCTCACTTTGTTGCCCAGGCTAGAGTGAGTGCCGTGGCGTCAGCCTG